CATTGAACTCTCTCTCTCTCTCTCTCTCTCTCTCTCTCTCTCTCTCTCTCTCTCTCCACTCTCTCTCTTTTTTTTAAGTCCTGGGAATTGAACTCAGGGGCACTCAACCACCGAGCCACATCCCCCAGCCCTATTTTTTTTATTTAGATACAAGGTCTCACTGAATGCCTGAGTGCCTCACTGTTGGTGAGGCTGACTTTGAACTTGTGATATTCCCACCTCAGCCTCCCAAGCCACTGGGATTACAGAAATGTGCCACCACAACTGGCTCCCAGCTCTTTTTTAATTATTAATTTTTTTTTGAAACATGTTCTAAGTTGTCAAGGCTGGCCTCAAACTTGTGATCCTCCTGCCTCAGCCTCCTGAGTAGCTGGCATTGATCACAGGAATGTGCCATTGTGTGTACACAAAATGGACATTTTTTTTTAAAGGATAGGATAAAACCTAATTACCATCCTTTTTTTTTATGGTACTGAAGATTGAAACCAATGCCCTGTTCATGTTAGGCAAGTACTTTGCCAATGAGCTACACTCTCAGTCCTTTTAAAACTTATTTTGAGCCAGGCACAGTGGCACATCTCTGTAATCCCAGCAGCTCTGGTGGCTGAGACAGGAGGATCATGAGTTCAAAGCCAGCCTCAGCAAAAAGTGAGGCACTAAACAACTCAGTGAGACCCTGTCTCTAAATAAACTATCAAAAATAGGACTGGGGATGTGGTTCAGAGGGTGAATGCCCATGAGTTCAACCCCAAGTACCCCCCCCCAAAATTATTTTGAGACAAGCGCTTCCTAAATTGCTCAGACTGACCTCAAACTTGCAATCCTTCTGCCTCAGCCTCCTGAGTAGCTGGGATTACATGCCCAGCTGGAGGATTGATTGATTGATTTTTGTACTGGAGACTGAACCTAGAGGGGCTGTACCACCAATCTACATCTCTAGCCCTTTAAAAAAATTTTTGTAGTTGTAGATGGACAGAATGAATGCCTTTATTTTATTTATGTTTATGTGGTGCTGAAGATAGAACCAAGTGCCTCACATGTGCTAGGCAAGCACTCTACAGTCCTGGCCCTCTAGCACTACCCCCCTATTTTTTAATTTTTTTAGTTTTTGATGGACACAATACCTTTATTTTGTTTATTTTTTTATGTGGTACTGAGGATCGAACCCAGTGCCTCACACATGCTAGATGTGCAACCCCAGTACTGCCAGCCCTTTTATTTTTTATTTTAAGACAGGGTCTCACTAAATTGCTATGGCTGGTCTTGAATTTGCCATCCTCCTGCCTCAGTCTCCCAAGTTGCTGAGATTACAGGCAAGTGCCACTGGAGAATTTTTTTTTTAGTGTGATGAAATTATTCTCTATTGATGGTATACTGGTGGATATGTAACATTGTGCATGTGTACACCTACACATGCAAAATGAAAAACAACTTTTTCAACTACAGTGCAGTATGCAAGTCTTTTGCCTTTAGTCCTTCAGACTTTGCTTATTTCTGAAGTTACTTAGATCATCACTCTTCACTCAACTCCTTCAGAGTTGTAAAACATCAGTATGGGCTCATGTTTAGCTTGGAGACATGTATAAAGTTGGCCTTCTATATTCAAGGGTTCTGCATCTGCTGATCCAACCAACCAAGAATTGAAAATACTTTGGAAAAAATTTACCTATACTGAATATGTACAGACTTTTTTTTAAAAAAAAACATCATTCCCAAAACAATAGAGATTTAAAAATAACTATTTGTATAACATTTACACTGTATTCAATACTATAAGTAATATAGGGGTGATTTAAAGTATTCAGGAGGATGTGTACATATTATATACAAATACTATGTTAAGTTAGGGTCTTCAGTATGCTCCAGTTTTGATACCCACAGAGAGTCCTGGGAACTGATCCCTCTGGAGATCAAGTAATAATTGTATACATACGTATAGAACATATGCACATGAATATGTGTAAGCATTCATAAATGTGTGTATAGAGGGGCTAGTTCACCTGTATATTTACTTGCTCCAACAGGTAAGAGGGTCTAGAAGCAATGACATCCCAGCAGCAACAATCACATCTAGTGCCCATATCTTGGTTTCTTAACCAAGGAACAAAGGCGCTCTGGAGAATTGGTTGGTTTTAGGTCTGGATCACTTTGTGCCAGAAGTATGGAGGTGCTCAATAAAATACAAAGATGGGAGTATGCCATCACAGCCCACTAGAAGAGTGGCTAAAGCAAAAAAGGATTTGAGTAATATAGTAATAAAGCAGTATTGGACTATAACCCAGAGTATAAAATAAATATCCATAGGTCTATAATGATATTAATAAATTTGGGAACAAATAAATAAACAGGAGGAGTGACAAACCTTCTTTATAGAGAATCCCACTCTCTTTCTCTCTTTTCAGTACTGGGGATTGAACCACTGAGCTATGTCCCCAACCCTTTTTATTTCTTATCTTGAGACAGAGTCTCACTAAGTTGCCAAAGCTGGCCTCAAACTTGTGATCCTCCTACCTCAGCTTCCCGAGTTGCTGGGACACCATCCCCTGCCCCATTTGCTCTTAAAGAAGTGGAGCTTAACTCCCTACTTCTTCAGCCGGGCTTCTAATATTGACTTTTTCCAAAGTATACATTATAGAAAAGGAGAAACAAGAGTAAGTTTACAGTGGAGAAACCTGACAAACACTACCCCAGCCAGGTGCTCAAGATTAACATCGATAGTGATTATTTGTGTTGATAGCATGTACCCCAGATATGAGTATGGTGGTTTACCTTCATGGTCTTCCATCTCAAAGTAACCCTGGTCTAATTATAAGAAAAACATGGGGTAAGTTACAACTGAGGGGATTCTTCAAAATACCTGCCAGTCGTCTTAAAATTGTCAAGGTCATCCAAAGTAAGGAAGGCTGAGCATAATACTCCTGTAATCCCAGCAGCTTGGGAGGCTGAGACAGCTGAGAGAGGAGGATCACAAGTTTGAGGCCAGCCTCGGCAACTAAGCGAGGTCCTAAGCAATTTAGTGAGACTATGTCTCAGGGAAAAAAAAAAGGTGGGGGGAGGCTGGGGATATGGCTCAGTTGGTAGAGTGCTTGCTTAGATGCACAAGTCCCTGGGTTCAATCCCTAACACCAAAAAAAAAAAAAAAAAAAAAAAAGGTCTAGAGATCTGTCACAGGCAAGAGAAGCCTAAGGAAACACAGATTAAGTGTCAAGATGGCCTCTATGTGCAGTTGCTGGGATAGAATGCTAAGGTGGGAAACCAACAGACACACATCCATACATCCGCAGTCTAGGGAAGCTTGTCCAGACTGCGTCTATGGCTCCCCCTCATTGTCCTGGCCCTCTGTGAAGATAGGGGCTGCAGTTCTTGATCTTATAGTGCCACAAAGATGAAGCAATCCAAGCTGGGTTTGCAACCAGAGTTAGGACATTAGGCTTTGGAAACAGACTAATTGTCTTTTTTTTTTTTTTAACACAGGTGTGCTGGGGTACTGAGGATGGAAACCAGGGAGGGCCTCAGGCATGCTAGCTCAGCTCTACCACCCAGCTCCATCCCCAGTTCCCCCATTTGTTACTTTTCAAACCAACAAATTTGTTTCTTTTTTACTTTTCAAAGTCACAAATGTGTTACTAAACCTCCCTATGTCTCTTCTTTTATCCTCCCCAAAGTAGGAGTTATAATTGTAACCACCATCATGAAATAGTTCATGAAGAACTCTTAAAATCAAGTTGGTAGGAGGTTTGGACTAGTCTCTGGTTAGTGCTCAATAAATGTTAGCCCTTAATTGTTATACTTTTTATTATTCATTTAGTACACTTTTTTTCTGATAGAACTTACTATAACTAAATTATTAAGCAGGTATTGGAAAATTGAGAAAGCAAAAGGCAGCACTGAGCTATCAGAATAGTTACTACAGGTAGCAACTATGACCCTATACTGGAGAATCCAAGGGAAGGAGTTGAAATTGCAATTAAAAAAAATTAATGGCTTACAGAGGATAATTTACATACCACAAAATCCACCCATTGGAAGTGTGCATACCACAAAATCCACCCATTGGAAGTAAACTTGTACAGGTGTGCAATCATAACAATATACTTTTAGAACATTTCTATTACTACCCCCTTCACAAGCTCATTTGCATTCAACACTCACTTCCTCAATTAGCCACTGGTACCTGTGCTTCCTGTCTATGTAGATTTGCCTAGAATAAAATTTTAAAATCCACTAACAAAAGGAGATCGTGCAAAATGGATGAAATTTAGGAAAAGAATAAGCAACCTAAAATGTATCACAAGTGTGTGTGGGAACACACCTGTAAACCCAGCTACTAGGGTGTCTGAGGCAGGACGATGGCCAATTCAAGGCTAGCCTCAGTCATTTAGCAAGATCCTGTCTCAAAAAAAAAAAAAAAAAAAAAAAGGCTAGAGATGTGGCTCAGTGGTAAAGCGCCCCCACGTTCAATCTCCAGTATCACTCTCCACCTCCACAAATCTCAAATCTCAAGTTATTTTAAAAGTAGGTCATAATGGGTTGGGGGTGGGGCTTACTGACAGACCAGGTATTTCAAAAAGCCCGGCGCGGGCGCGGAGGACGGACGCGAGGTGATGGGGAGCGATGGGGTCCCGCTGGGGCGACCTGGGGGTGGAAGAGAGCCGGGGAACGGGAGCGGCGGCGTCGGGGCGGCTTATCCCAGCTCTTTGGTGGGCAGAGGCAGGAGGATGGGAAATTCGGCAACTGAGATACTGGGTGAGGGAACGCGGGCTACAGTTTAAGTAACAGGGTTATCATCATCACGATGTGGCCATAAAGCAAAAAAAAAATCTTTAAAAGGGGAAAAATAAGGAGCGGTTCCAGTTCGGGTGCGTAAGATTGGGGTGAGTTGTGAGGAATTTGTGACGCCAGAATCACAGCTGTGGGCCAGCCTGCCCCAGCCGGGACTAGCACCTGCGCCACCCTACGCGCAGGCGCGGCGCTCCAACTTCCCGGCTCCGGGTGCACCAGGCCCGCAGCCCGAGCTAGAGTTCGCATCGATCCCGATCTCCTAGCGATTGCTTCTGTCTGTTGTTTAGGTATGGCGCCGGCGAGGAAACCGAGAGACGGCTGGAACCGGGATCGGGACCAGAGTTTCGCTCGTTGCTGAGCGGCACCCAGGGCCTAGTGGGCTATGGGGGAGTCTGCTTCCTTGGTCACTGAAGACCACGCCGGTGGCCGGAGCTGGTGCTTGCGGCGGGTGGGGATGAACGGCGAGTGGCTGCTGCTGGAGGACGGACGCGAGGTGAGGGCAGGGGGTCCTGTTGTGGGGAGCGATGGGGTCCCGCTGGGGCGAGCTGGGGGTGGAAGGGAGCCGGGGACGGGAGCGGCAGCGTCGGGGCGGCTGCGATGAATGGGGAAGCCGGGGGATGGGAGAGCGAGGAGCAGCAAGAGGTGGGATCCTGGGCCGCGTAGTGAGCGCGATCGCGGGCGCGCGGTGGAGGGGTCTGAGGCGGGAGGTGTTGGGGGAGAAAGATGAAAGGGTTCCACTCGGGGGAGACCTTCGGGGCCCCGGAGGGCGGTGGGGACCGGGTCCAGGCCCATGGTGCCGAGGGGGTAAGATGGCCCCTGGAGGGCGGCTGGGCCGGAGGGCGGCCGGAGCTGGTGTACGCCGACCGCGGCGTGGAGGAGCAGGGCCGGGCAGAGCAGAGGCCGGGGCCGGGCCGTTGGGGTCGCCCGGAGCCCGCGGTGCCGGCCACGGAGGCGGCGCGGCCCGGACCGAAACGCCGCCCGAGGTCTGATGCGGTGTGAACTTTCTCGAGTTTATTTTGAAACCGATTGCGAATTAGATGTGTCATCCTTCAGGTACTCATGTAAGAATGACTTCTTTCTTTCCGTCTCTTTGAGGTAGATCGGCTGGTCGGGATGGGTCAAGTTTAGCCTGGGAGTCTGTGTGCCTCCAAGTGGCGCCCCCTGAGATGGGTCAGGATGGGGATTCAGAGTTCTCCCCAGAGGTTGCTGACACTGTTTGATAAATGCAGATGAACAAAGAATAATAAATGCATGTTAAAAATAAAAACAAAAAGGAAGGGTGAGGCCTGGTACCAGTGGGGGAGGGGGCGCTAGAAGTGGGGTGGTAGGGAGAGAATTGCAGACAGCTTGGAAAAAACTGGGTCAGGAACAAGCTCTCGGTGATGAGGAGCCATTTGGGTTTTGGAAGTCATTTGTATGAAAAGTTCACTTTGCGGTAATACTGAGTGGTAGTGTTGTAAGTTAAATAAGCCTTGATTATTATTTAGTTTTAGTTAGGTCTTTCTTTCTAGATTATTTTTTTAAGGTTTTTCTTATAAGCCATCTAGTCTCAATGTAGTTTCCCAGATATTTATCTAGTGCTTATGTTGTTTGGTGTACTTATAAGACAGACAGATGATGACTTCTGTAGTCAAAGAGCTTATGGCTTGAATGAGAAAATTTATACAGTGAAGTAGTCTGACAGTATGTGGGCTGAATAATTAAATGCCAAAACGTGAATTATTTAGTAATAGTCTAAAGCACTAGTTCCTTAAGTCAAGGAAGGCTTCAGGTCCAGCCTTAAATGTTGCTAAATAAAGAGATTATGAAGGGTTACTTTGTGTATAATTTACATACATTACTTGATCTGGTCCTGTAGATGAACTGCACACACACAACTGCGTGTGGCAGTTTAATAGTCAAGTGTTAACTTATTCCTTTTTTTTTTTTCTTCACACACAGACACTTTATTAGTTTCCTCTACAAGAGACAGTAACATCAAACTTTTAACAGAAATGTCAGGTCATTTGAGAGGCCAAACAGATTCTAGGAGGGAAGACCACCTAAAACTCATGACCACCATTAAAGTAGGAAGGTTAAGCTACAGCAAATTATCTAACGTGAATGTTAGCAGTTACACAGCAGGAAGCAAGTTTGTGTTCAGAAGACTATGGTACAATGATAATTTGGGCCCAAGAGGGTATTTGGCCATAAAAAGGTCAAGATGGCTAAAGGTAAAGTCATAGAAAGGAATTGGCACAAAGGGACTACATGCTATGTGGTCAAGCAGATGGCAATGAATCAGGCTTCTTCCTCCCTAGAAATATTGGCTGCACTGTGCTACCCTCTCCCCCATGGTGATCTTACCCAACTGTTGTTTGCTTTTTTTTTTTTTTTTTTTCAGGCTGAGCTGCCTGCTCCTGCCTTAACACTTGCTCAGCTATGGAAATAGGTCTATGGAAAGCCCAGGGCTCTTGTTGTTAATTTAGCTTAGATCTTAGAGAACTTGTCACACATGGGCTGCTTTGTTACTAGTTGTTCTGACAAGGAAAAATCTCCAAAGCATTCACATGCAGAGTCTGAAAGTCCTCAACCATTCAAACAGCTTTATTCAACATCCTTAGAAGTCTGAAATCTTGCAGCAACTGAACTCTAGTTAGAGCTGTAAGATTCACAAAATCATTAAGGAAGCCAGAATGAGACAATGCAGTTAAGAAATCCCAACAGTTAATATCAATCTGTCTTTCCCCAATTTACAAAACTCTCAATTACATGATATGGGATGTAGAAAGCTATATAGGAGCAAGCTGGGTCTTCTGAATTTGTCATCAGATACCAAGGGAAAGAAGGAGTGGGGTTGATTTTATTTTTTAAAAAGCCTCAAGTTATTCTGTTATAAAAGAACATGGCTGAACAGGTAGGAAACAGATTCCCCATTATGAGTTCTCCTGATGGCTTCTGCAAGGATCATAGAGATGTCATTCACCACCTGTATTTTGGAGCAGTGCTTGCTTCATCTTGTCCTCCTGAGGTATGGTATCGATGAACACTACTACTTCAAAACATACATTACTGATGCAAGAAATGCCTGGCCCAGAAAAGAATTCATGAGTCAAGATAGCATGAACTCTGGTGGCTCCAGCTGAGAGAAGTTTGTCAGCTGCATGGCAGATGGTACCATATGTGACAGCCATGTCATCTACAAGGATAGCCACCTGATCGTTCACATCTCCCACTAACACCATGTGGTCCACTTCATTGGCCTTCTTCCATTCCTTGTGAAACAAGGCAAAGTCCACATTCAACTGGTCTGCAATGGAGGTCACTCTTGGTTCCACCAGCATCAGGTGACACAATAGTGCAGTTCCTCCACTCTGAGATATTCCCCCTACTCCACTTCAGGACAGCTGGCTCTGATGTCCACTAGGATATCAAAAAAGCCCTGATTTTGAGAAGCAAGATCCATGGTGATAATATGATCTGCACCAGCTACAGACAGCGTATTTTTAACAAGCTTGGCTAAGATTGGAACCCGGCTCTTATCTTTATCCTGCTGGGCATCTGGGAAACGTGGGATGATTGTAGCAATCCAGCTGGCTAAAGTGGTCTTGCAGGCATTAATCATGATCAAAAGCTCCATTAGATTGTTGATTTTACCACAGCCACTCTGATTGATGTAGACATTATCTCCATGTACACTTTCACCAGTTTCTACACGGGTCTCCTGGTTGCTGAATTTCTTGGTTGCACCTTGCCTAGCTCTAGGCCCAGGTGGTCAGCAGCTTTCTGGTGTAAGTCCTGATGGGAGCTGCCACTGAAGATTTTGATATTTGGCATCTTGGGCACTTACCCTAGGTGCTCTTCACTCAGCGATCGCTGCTGCTGCAGGGTTCTGAACTGAAATTGACTCGGAGAGTTAATATTAACCACTAACCTTTGCTACTGCGCCATTTTCAAGTGTTAACTTATTCTTTTAGATCAGTTCAATGAATTACTTCATTAATTTCTCCTGAATAGCTTGGGAGGTAGTCCTGGATTTTGCAGGAGAAGGGAGGATAAGGGAAAATAATGATGTAAGACAAGGAGTCTATAAAGCTGGGCGTAGGATTATGTTTGTAATCCCAGCAATTTGGGAGGCTGAGGCAGGAAGATTGCAGGTTCAAGGCCTGCCTCAGCAACTTAACCAGGCCCTAAGCAATTTAGTGAGACCCTGTCTAAAAATAAAAATGGCTGGGAATGTAGTTCAGTGGTAAAACAACATTAATCCCCTTTGCCAAAACCCAAAAACCCAAGTCCATAAAGCACTTCTAGATATGTTCTAACCTATTTGATAGATTTGTATGGGCCCACCTCTGTGGGGAGAGACCAATACAAACCAAGTGAATGGAAAAAACATACTGGGGACATTATGGCTTGCCTGGTAGCCTGTGTGTAGAAGCTTGCCAGGCCTGGTTGTCTGCAAGGTCAGGTCTTAGACAGTAGTTAGAGCTTAGCCTATAGTGTATGTGAAGAGAGTCTGAATTAAAGCCAAGATGAAGTCTTACAGTAATGGTTCTTAAACCACTAGTTGGTTTGCACAGATTTTTAAGAGGTGTGGTGATATCATTTAATTATAACAGCAGTCAGTTCCCCACCTTTCCAGTTCCTTTCAAAGTTTCAGATTTTGCAGATGAAAAAATAAAACATGGCTTCCCTCATTTTGTTGAAGGGAATACTATAGTAAAATTATCTGTTGGTCATGGTATTTTAAACTTTTTAATACCTGTTCAGAGTTCGGTGTAAAAACAAATGTTTTATTGCAAATTGACTAGTTCTTAGGTCCTATAACTATCATCCCTAAAGCCATAATATCTTTTTTTTCTTGTTTTCTTCTCTCATATCTGGTTTTCTTAAAGCTTTCTGCCCTAAGTGGGTTGAAAAAGGGAAAGGATGGTTTTCATCTGGGAAACAGCAGGAGTTGTGCCCAGGTGGAAAGGGTAGCATTAGTGAAGGTGGACAGGGTCAAGATGAACTTCTAGATCAATAATGTCAACATGCTCAAAGGCTTGCAAAACTGTTGTAAATGGATTTCCAAATGAGCATGGCTGTACTCTTTTAACTGTAGTATAGGTGAAATATCAGAATGCTAAGGTAAATTCTTGAATGAAAGAGTGAAAGGATGTGAAAAAAATCTTTCCTGGATTTGCAGTCTGTAGAAGGCAATTCAGAAAAAGGCACTCCTTTGTTTTTTCTGTACTGTTTTCCCTGGTGGCAATCAGGCTGTTTCCCCCTCAAGTATTAAAATGGCAGGTGGAAATTTTTTTTTTTTTTTTTTTTTTAATATTTATTTTTTAGATTTTTGGGTGGACACAACATCTTTGTTTGTATGTGGTGCTGAGGATCGAACCCGGGCCGCACGCATGCTAGGCGAGCGCGCTACCGCTTGAGCCACATCCCCAGCCCCTGGAAATTTTTATTTCCTCTGGGGGAAGGAAAAAAAAAAAAAAACTATCAAAGCTGGGTGCGGTGGGTACA